AGGAGCGGCGGGTGTATGCATATGGTGTGCACCAGATCTCAGTGCGGATTCAATTGGTGTTGGATTTGTCAGACCGAGTGGAACAGGGATTGTATGGGAAACCATTGGTTTGGTTAATGATCGCAAACAAAGTATTCATAATAATCTGCATTTTGACTGTTAGTGCCAATCGTTATGTTTGTGTTTTCACTCATTTATAGTTCAAATATTTTAATTATTTTTTAGTTAAATATTCAGTGATACTAATGTAGAAATTAAAATTTTGCAAATTACGGTAATTTATAAACTATATTACGAAATGAATTTATTCAATAAAACGCTAAACTCATAGACAAAACCAAATTGTTTAACAATAATTGTCACCACATTTTGTCATCAAATATGTTTAGATATGATACTATGGTAAGAGTACTTCCATCAACACTTTTATAAAACACAATCAATAGTGAGACACGTGTTATGTCTTCTTAACGGTCTGTTGCAGTAATTTCTTACGTCTCTCTACAGCCCTGACCTCAGCGATGGTCTCCTTGTGGTCCTTAACCTCCTTCCAAATGGACAGCTGTTCCTCTTCGGGGATGTGATCCCTGTACTCCTTCATGAGGTCGTACTTCTCGAACTCATTCTTAGTTTTCCACCGATTGATGAACCGATAGTCTGGCAAAATATTGAATGCTTATTGACTGTATTGTGACAATAGGTGGCATTCATTGCCCATAAATACAGCATTTGTTTGGCAAACATGTGAGCACTGAATGAATGATGAAATTTAAAACACTGTTTAAAGCATTAAATCATTTAATTTATTAATTGTAACACATTTTCACGACAATTATGTTAACCATTAACTGAGTTTACAGTGAATCGTGCGGTGCATCGGATCTGCACTAATCATGTCTTCAGTGGCAGCCGTGTCTCGTATCTCAAGAGTCGGTCACTTCGTTCACTCGCGACTCTTCGGTCGGTCCAACCTATTGCTGACCAACTCATTGATATCGGCTCTCATGGGAACTGTTGGCGACGCCATTCAACAGCAGTACGACCTCTTGACTGATGGCAAGAGTGGTGATAATGGATTCAATGGGCAGCGATCGGCGCACATGACTTGCGCCGGATTTACCACTGGATTGGTGTCTCACTATTGGTACATATATTTGGACCGCTTTTTGGGAACTAAGAGGACGCTGTATGTGATCACAAAGAAGGTGCTGTTGGACCAGATAGTGTTCAGTCCCGTCAACCTATTGGTGTACTTCTCGACGCTGGGAGTGTGCGAGCGGTCGGGCGCTCTTCGCGTGAAGGAGGAGTTGGTGGAGAAGGGCTTCGAACAGATCTATGTCGTCGAGTGGATAGTGTGGCCGCCGATGCAGTTCTTCAACTTCTATGTCCTTCCCCTCAGATATCGCATACTTTTCGATAACATTATTTCCTTGGGTTTCGATATCTACTCGCCTTATGTTAAGTATAAGACTAAACTCAAGAGCGAACTCAACGCCAGTTGTGACCAAATCAGTGACCAAATCAGTGAAACTACTGGTCAGAGTGTGGCACAAGAGTCGTGAGACTCATAGTCATAGCAATAGTTTTGTTCATTTTATTATCAATTTTGTTAATTTAGTATTTTTTATATTATGAGACCAATCATTGCATTTGTAATTTTATACTGTATTTACCGGTAATATACGCTATTAATAATCAATGTATTTCTCATAAACAAATCAAATGAGTATTTAATTTCAAATAAAACACGTTTTTATTGATATTTATTGAGCGATCATTTACTTTGATTCAACAATTAATTAGACAACAAATGTGAAGACAAAAGAATTTGTAAAATTAAAGCTCTCATTGAAAACCCAAACTCATCCACAAATAGACTGAATAATAATAATTAGATTAAATGAAACGTTAATTTAAATAAAATTTAATAAACTCCTAAAACAATGGGTGAAAAGAATTTTGTGAAAACAAATCCAAACAAACATATCGAGTAGTCATGCGTTTATCACTCACTCATGAAGAATATATAAGAATTCATTTCAATTGTCAATAGTTATAGATATAAATTAATTTATATTATTTTCATTGATTGCATAAATAAATAACTTTTATTTCTAGTGATGTGTTTGCGTTAGTCGTCGCCGCCGTTAGTCTTGATGAGCCGTTTGCCGCCGCGTTTGCCTACCGGTCCCTTGGGCTTATCGAAGGCCTTGCGTATGATGTCCTGTCGCGGGTGGAGTTCGTCGACGAGGTAACTGTGGGTGACTTCCCGGGGATTGTCGATCTCGAGACGTTTGTCGATCTGGACGCCGATGCGGTCGGTGATGGCGTTGAGTAAAGCGCTTTTGCAGGACGAGTACAGCATCCGCTCCTTCACTGATATGAAGCTATTGGGTATGGAATACACGAATACAATACTCTTGTGGAACTCGCCGTCGAAGGTATGCCGGAACACAATCAGGTGATACCGGGCGCTGTCCTGCGGGATCAGTGTCTCGATGTTATGCACGTCCAGCTCGTTGGCGGTCCTCTTGTCGCACAGTTTTATCTCCTCGTTCTTCGCGTCGATATTCAACTGAACGTAACTCAGGTTATCGTCTTTCAGGTCAAACAAGGCGTTTATGGCCTCCGAGTCGATTGGAAACGCGAGACCGGGAAGTGTTTTATTAGTTTTGGTGATACACGAGGACAGGGCCTCGTCTCGGCGCACAGTCTTCAGCTCCTGCTCCTCGCGAGTCAACGGCAGCCCTTCCGCACAGCTTTGGAGCCAATTCTGGAGACCAGTGAACGAGATCTCGTCGAAAGTGGTGGCGAAGTAGTCGTGAGCGATGTTTCCGCCGCCAAACTGCTGCTTAAGAGTGGCTTTAGTGGACGCGTAGACCATCTTCTTGCGGATACTGCTCTCCTCGGGGGTCCACAGTATGAATAGCCACTCATAGGTCCCGGAGCTGTCTCTGGAGTCCAGGCGGAACAGTATGTACGCGGGCTCTGCCACGAGAACCATGCGCTTCACATACCGTTTGTAGTCCTCCTCCCAGTCCTCCGACGGCTCTTTGTACTCATCGAGGATCAGCTCTTCGTTATGAATGGACACCTTTATAGTATGTACGCGGGCTCTGCCACGAGAACCATGCGCTTCACATACCGTTTGTAGTCCTCCTCCCAGTCCTCCGACGGCTCTTTGTACTCATCGAGGATCAGCTCTTCGTTATGAATGGACACCTTTATCAGTCGGATCTGATCCGTGCTTTCGGTCTTGCATTTCGATATGAATGACAACAACTCTTCGTTGCAACGAATGCCCGTCTGGTGTGACATCACTGGAACTGATCCCACAATATGTTACACTCGTATATCACGTCAACAACTCTTGCCTATCGTTTCCACACAACAGTCACTCAATTGTCGACTAAATAACAAATAAATCATTCAATGAATGACTCAATAAGTGAATGAATGAATGAGTGGTTCACTGAAAACACTCCCAATTATAGACTCGTGACGTCTGCGCACGCGTTGCCAATGCATTGCATACACTGTGAGTGTGTCTGACAGTCAGTCTGTGTGTGAAAACAGCGCCAAAACATTGCATTCAATAATCCATTCATAAGTCTTAACGTAAGTCTTGACGTGTTTTGAGTCTTCAGTTATATACCACTCGTGAAACCAAATGATCATCGATTGCGAGGCAGCTCTGGTCACACAGGGATGTGGCGATCGGGTGCGCTATAGTCGCGCCAAAGTCGGGTTGGCTAACGATAAGTCGGGAACGGCTGTCGTGATAGTGATCACCACTCAGTGGAAGGAGAAGTTGAGGATTAGGAACAACTGCACCATCAGGAAGACCACCATCAGCTTCATTGCGCCAAAAAAGGATCTCTACCTCAGGAACTACGACGAGTTGGTATTCAAGGCCTTCATGACACTGATGGCCAGAATCAGTGCCAACCAATTGACCACTAAGTTGGCGGACGTGTCGGCACTCGAGAAGTTGAGACCAAAGCCCACATCACTGGCCGTAAGGGATGACGCGTTCACTGCCAGCGACTTATCCAATAAATGTCTGCAGAAGTTGTCGGTCGAGCGGTTCCGTACGATTCCGCGACTCGTATGGAAACTCAATAATCTGGTGGAACTGTCGCTCAATGGCTGCGAGTTGACGGAAATACCGCTCAAATTGAATGATTTAGCGCCGAAGCTGAAGATTTTGGACGTGTCTCGCAATCACATCCGAGCCATCGATGGCTCGTTTGCGGTGGCGATGAGACACTTGAGATCATTGGACGTCAACCACAATAAGTTGGCGTACATTCCGCTGGAGATCAAAGCCATGACACGTCTGGAGCGACTGATTGTGAGCCACAATGAGTTGACACATTTGGCCATCACTTTGGGACTCATAAGTGCTCTCAAATGTCTGGACATCAGTCACAACCAATTGAATGGATTGTCGTTTTCGATGATAAGGCAACTGTTTCTCAAGACTCGTTTGGAAAACTTAGACACGTCTGGTAACCCATTCAAAGAGAGCGCCTACAGGTCATCGTATCAGGTCTTGTTCGGGAAGGGATGAGAAGTCTTGGATACAAACCGCGCTTAGCACAGGTGTCTAACAGAAGATATGTCAACAGTGGTCAAAAACGGTGTTTGAGACTATAAAGCGATGCAAATGAATGCCGACAAGTGTTGCGTTTGTAGTGAATATGTTGTCGACAAACAGATGATATTAGGAGTGATTCCTCAAAGTCTGGAACAGATCGCCGTGTGTCTCACATCCAGTGGTTTCCCCTCATTCCCAAAGTTTCCGTCCACACAATATGTCTGCCATTTATGTCTCAATAATCGGACAATAGTTTAAAGTTTAAGTCAATTAGTGTTTTGCCGTATATTTCATTACAATTTGTATTTCTATGAGTTTTTATTACAAAATAAGTAACATTTGTATGCTTTGAGTGTATGAATGAATGGTCGATCAAGAAGTGGAAGACTGTTCTGTGGGCATAGAGTCGAGTAATGTCTGGATCTGATGCAAAACCATTTCATTGCCACAAACGCAGTGCTCGCGAGTATAGGGAGGGCTAAGAGTGAGCGCATACGCGATGCACAACACGCCGTCGTCTGTCTCGTCGCACGGAATCCTATTCCTCTGCAGCCAACTCATCACCGATTGCTTCCGTGTCCTCAACTCGTGGTCACTGAACGCCTTGTCGTCGCTGTTCTCGTACATCGATGCGGACAGCAGTCGATTCAAGTGATAGTGCGCGTGGTCATCGCCGGTGTCGTCGTCATCGTCGGCCAAGTCGATGGATCTGATGGCGTGACTCATGGCCAGAACCAGTTTGGATCGGTTGGCGACACCGGTGTCCGCGTCCGTCACCACCAGTGCTATGGTTTGCGTCAACGGGTCGATGCATTTGAGTGAACCCACGTGCGAGCCCTTCACGGTCTTCAGCACCACTTTCTTGTTGATATATTTGCAGTATTTATGGATAAAATTCCGTTCATTTGAGTCGTGATTTGGATCCATTCTTCGCGCGACAATTGTCTCGACAGTCGACTCGATGTCAACGCAAACCCATTCACTCAATACGTCTGACAATCATTTGCGACGATATTTATGTCACGTGTTGTGGACATAAACTTTTGAATTTAAATTTTTGGATCTATTATGAGGTGATAATTGCAGACACCGATCAACTGTTGATGTCATCGATACCATGCCATTCATTGCTGTACACGTGGGTGAGTATGCATAAGACAATTGAGTAATAATTGTTGTCATGTCTTGAGTAAAGTTTGATCCAATTGTGCCATAAATTGACATTTGATTTGATATGTGATGTGTAGGCGCCGGACAGTACGGCACCGGTAGTCGAAGGGATCAGTACCTGAATGCGTGTCGTGCGGCGTGTCTTGAGGTGAGATATGGATGACGGCATATAATCACCATTAATGGTATGACTCCATGAAAAGGCCATCAAATATCTGAACGATAAGTGTTCGGCAATCGATGGTGTGATTCACGCCATCACTAGTCTCGAGGACAATGACGTGACAAACGCGGGCTTAGGATCTAATCTCAATCTGAATGGATGTGTTGAATGTGACGCCAGTCTAATGGACGGCCGTTCCCTCGATTGGGGGGCTGTCGGCGCTCTTCAGGGCATTAAGAATCCCATAAAAGCTGCCGAATGTGT